ATTTTTCTAAGTGATACATTACAAGTTGTTTACCGTCATCAAAAGTACAAGTGTTTGATCTGAACACGGCATGGCTGTCTGTAAACTTCAGTAAGTCTTTTGGGTCCTAGTGTCTGTGTATGCAGTACTTGTTGGTAGACAGTGCCATCTGGTGGTTTAGTGGCCAAACTACATGGCGTCTGGATCCATTTCTGTGACCATCATACAAAGTACCACAAGCTGGGGCTTAACAGAAAGGTATTTTCTCACAGTTCTGGAGAGCAGAAGTCCAATATCAAGGTGTTGACGGGGTCGTTCTCCCTCTTAAAACTCTAGCAAAGAATCCTTCCTTGCCTCTTCCAGCTTCAGGTGGTCACTGGCACTCCTTGGGATTCCTTGGTTTGTGGTTACATCATCCCAACCCCTGCCTTCTCTTCTGTGTCCTCCTCCTTTTTTATAAAGACACCATTCATTGGACTTAGGGCCCTTCCTGATCTATCATGACCTCATCTTTTTTTTTTTTTTTATGTTTATTTAGTTTTGAGAGAGAGAGAGACAGACAGCGAGTGAGCAGTGGAGACATAATTGCTGAGTGTGTGTGTTCCTTGCCTTTGACTGAAGGCAAAGAACTTTCCGAACTCTTTGTTCTTCAAGAGCAATACTTTGGTACAACTGGTAATCCTAGGGAGAGCTGCCAGGAAGAAATGCCAGAGGTTTTTACCTGGGGGATCTTTAAGGTAATCTGCCAAAACTTACATTGAGTCACCAATGTGGCCAAACTGCTAAGTATACAAGGAACATGGGGATCTTACTTTTCCGGGGCTACCATAACAAATGATTACAAACTGTACCCAGTTAAAACAACAGCGATCTAGTCTCTTGAAGCTCCAGAGGCCAGAGGTCTGAAATCAAGGTGCTTCCAGGACTGTGCACTCTCTGGTTTCTAGGGAAGACTTTTCCTTACCTCTTCCACCTTCTGGTGGCTAAAGGTGTTTCTTTGCTTATGGCTACATCAGTCCACTCACTGCTTCCATGGTCACAGGCCTCCTCTTCATCCTCAAAACTTCCCCACCTCTGTAAATAAGGGTACATGTGATGGCATCGAGGACCCTCCAAGATAATCCAGGATGGGTTCCACTGCTTGAAATCCCAACTTAATGCATTTGTGACAATATAGAGTAACATTTATTCTTTTGCCACATGTGTTAATCTGTCTAGAATCTCCAGAGAAAACTGAACTGATAGGGTGTGTGTGCATACACATGCTTAGAGGAAGAGAGGGAAAGAGTTGAGCGAGAGAGATTTATTTTAAAGAATTGTAAGGAATGACTCACAATTATGGAGGCTGACGAGTCCAAAATCAGCAGGGAGGCCTGCAGGCTGGAGATTCAGGGAAGAGAGAATCAGGGAGATTCAGGCCAAAAAGCATCTGTAGAGTAACATCAGCAAGATGGCAGAGTAGGAAGTCCTATCCCTGGTTTACCCACAGAAACACCAAATTGATGGAGGTCCTGAATCTAGTTAATAAGTTGCAGTCTTCCAGAGGAGCACAAACCAGAGAGAAGCTATAGTGAATGGAGGAAATGGAAAAAGCAGTGTCCTCAGGAAATGTTGGTTTTAGATGGGGTTAGAGGGATTTGAGGCAGGAAGGGAGGGCATAGGTGCAGGTGGAGAGGCAGGAAAACAAATATGTGCTCTGGAGATCCTGGAATATTCTAGGCAGGTGATAGGTTTTAGGCCGGCCTTATGAATTGGAGGCAGTGAGGTTCCACTAACCTGACTAGATCACACAGAGAGAGGAGGGTTGGAAGACGATGCCCATGTTGTTGACCAGTACTTCCAGACCCCCACACTCCTTGCGTAGGAAGTCAAGCAGTGCATGGCTGCTCTGCAGGTCATGGATGTCAGGCAGGGGGAAGCATGGTTGGGAGCATCATGTTCCCCGAGACCTGCTGGCACAGAACACCCATGATGGTGAAGCCTAGTTGGGCCCAGTCACCAGCACCACATGGCTGTAGGTCTACTAGGCTGAGTGAGGCATTAGAGTGCAGAAAGCAGACATGGTAAGACACTTGGGGTGTGCTGTGGGCCCCGTGCATTGGCACAGGTGTGTTCTGGTATCTGGGGATTTTACCCCTAGAGCTAGAGGCCCTGCCTCCATCACCCATCAAAGAAGGGGCCAAAGGTTCCAGATGGTTCCCTAATGATGCTATACCAGGTCTGTCTCTCCCAGGTCTGTATCTTAAACCCAACCAGAACTCCCCACTCTTAGGATCCTTCCTCTGAGCTCAGCAATGGTTCAGG